TTAAGTGCCATCGAGTCGGGTCCGACCCATAGCGACCCTGTACAGGGTTTCCGAGGGTGTAAATCTTTACGGGAGTAGAAAGCCTCATCTTACAATTTGCTTTACTGATTGTTTTATTAATAATCTGCCTGTTTATGCATTTTGGGATTGTAGTTGTTTTTAAAATGACTTGGTTATAAAACCAGCTCTTTTATTTGAAATTTTTTATGATCTACATACTTTAAAATCTAATGTAATATGATTTTTAAAAATTCTTTTGCCCTAATGACTTTCATATTTGTGTTTTTTATTTCATCAATACAGATATTAGTGAATCTGGCATTTCTGTAAGAAATACTGTCTCAGCAAGTTCCTTGGCTGGTCAGGGAGAGAGAAGGAGAAGAACCCTTCCCCAACTTCCAAATGAAGAAAAGTCTCTCGAGAGTTCCAGAGCAAAGGTTACAGCACAGAGGTCAGAGATAGGAGAAAAGCAAGACACAGAACTTCAGGAGAAAGAAACACCAACACATGGATCCCAAAATGATAAGCAAGACACTGACCGAGCCCTTAGTAAAATGAACAGGACAGTAAATGGTGAGGCTCTTAAGACTGTTGGAGATAATAAAACCCTGTTTAGCTTAGGCAGCTCTTCTCCTGGAAAGGAGAGAAGTGGAAGTGATAAGGACACTTCCTTGGTAAAACAAACATTAACTAAAATTCAGGAACAAGAACAAAAGGAGCAGGCAGAGTGGACACCCACTAAATTGTCATCATCAAAAAACATTTCAGGTCAGATAGACAAATGCAGGGAAGAATCTCTTAAACAAGAGTCACTGTCTCAAGAAAAAACTCCAGGACATTCTACAAGCAAAGGAGAAAGGATGATACAAAATGAGGGCAAGAGAAGAAAAGCTGAGGAAGTTGTAAAAGGTCAAACTTCAAAGGGAGGAGACAAAAAGGAATCTTCCAAGTCATTAGTGCGACAAGGAAGCTTCACTATAGAAAAGCCTAGCCCAAATGTACCCATAGAACTTATTCCCCATATTAATAAGACTTCAGCCACTCCTCCTTCTTTAGCATTAACTTCTGTAAGTAAATTACGAGAAAAAAGTGACTCTGTGGATACTGATTCTAGTATGGACACAACCCTTATTCTCAAAGACACAGAAGCAGTAATGGCTTTTTTAGAAGCTAAACTTCGAGAAGATAATAAAACTGATGAGGGCCCAGATACTCCTAGTTATAATAGAGATAATTCTATTTCACCGGAATCTGATGTGGATACAGCTAGTACAATCAGTCTGGTTACTGGAGAGACTGAAAGAAAGTCAACTCAAAAGCGAAAAAGTTTCACTAGCCTCTATAAAGATAGGTGTTCTTCTGGTTCTCCTTCCAAAGATGTTACAAAAGCATCATCTTCAGGTGCTAGGGAGAAGATTGAAAAGAAAACAAAAAGCAGATCCACAGATGTAGGCTCAAGAGCAGATGGTCGTAAGTTTGTACAATCCAGTGGAAGAATAAGACAGCCGTCAGTAGATTTAACAGATGATGACCAAACGTCTAGTGTACCTCACTCTGCCATCTCTGATATTATGTCATCTGATCAAGAAACTTATTCTTGTAAACCTCATGGAAGGACCCCAGTTACCTCAACTGATGAACATGTGCATTCTAAACTGGAAGGAAGTAAAGTAACTAAATCTAAGACTTCTCCTGTTGCGTCTGGTTCATCCAGTAAATCAACTACTCTTCCAAGGCCACGGCCTACCAGGACTTCCCTTTTGCGCCGAGCACGACTTGGTGAAGCTTCAGACAGTGAACTAGCTGATGCTGACAAAGCATCTGTTGCTTCTGAGGTATCCACAACAAGTTCAACATCAAAACCTCCCACAGGAAGGCGCAACATCTCTAGGATTGATTTATTGGCTCAGCCTCGTAGAACAAGGCTTGGCTCATTATCTGCTCGTAGTGACTCTGAAGCAACAATATCTAGAAGTAGTGCCTCTTCACGTACTGCAGAAGCCATCATTAGAAGTGGAGCCAGATTACTACCATCAGATAAATTTTCTCCTAGAATTAGAGCTAACAGTATCTCTCGACTCTCGGACTCCAAGGTCAAAAGTATGACCTCATCACATGGCTCTCCTTCAGGTAAACTGTTTCCAGACTTGTTATAGTATTAGCATATTCTGTCTTTGTGGAATCCTAATTTTAAAAATTGAATTTTACTTGTTGTCTTCTCAAAATAATCAGCAGAGAGGTTATGATACAGGGAAGTTTTTGTTTGTGTTTTTTTCCTTAACTACTTTTTATTTGGCTTGTTATTAGTTGCTGGTGTCATTGAGTCGATTCCAACTCATAGCAACCTTAAGCACAACAGAACAAAACACTGCCCCAGTCATATGCCATCCTCACAATCGTTAAGCTTAGTAAATGGGAAATTCAGAAGTTATATAGACTTCCAATTAATGTCCTGGGGCACAATATTGATTTCAAAATTAGAATTACATTGAGCTGATTTAGGAATTTTTACTGTTCAGTTGATGAGAAATCTGGATTTGCATTTCAAAAGTAGATTAGGAGTTATTATCTGATTTAAATGATAAGGATTAACCTTGTGCTTCTCAAAACATATTTGTAACTTTTAAGTATCCTAACATAATTCAGAGTCCTTATGAACCTGAAGAAAAGCAATATAACATTGGGGTAAGGTGTTTCTCCTTTCAGAACTAAAAGAAATGATGCATATTCACGCTACCTCCCTGTTTTTTATGCTTAGTCTGAAATGGATTATATACCTTACTTATACTTTTTAAAGTTAAGACTGTTTATGGTTGGGACAAGTGAATGTTATGCCTTAATTTAGATCAGCAGAAAAAAATAAATTCATGGAGTAATCGCTTAGCACATGTGGTTCAAAATGAGCTGTAGGAATTTAATTGAACTGTGAGCTTTATCTCATGAGGAGCTGTTGCAGCATTTAAATGTAATAGGTGTAATTACATATAATAATTAACAAAAACTACTTACCCCCCATCAGAATCCAACAGCTTTGGGAATATTTGTCTTTTTATGTACTTATATTCAAAACTGAAGTCACTGAATATACATGTGTAACCAGAGTAATGAAACAGACAATTGTGTGCATCCTGTAAGCATGGTCTCATTACTTCATAATGAGCTTCATGTATGGGTGCAGCTGAAAAGACCAGCAGGGGAAACAGCAGTTTATGAGACTTTGAACATTTATGGTTATTGTTGGTCAACAGGTCTCTAAATGGGCCTGTCTTGAGTGGAAGGAGAGTTGGTATTCAATCTTATCTTTTTATTTTTGTTTGGTTTACATCTACCACAAAAATGTTCTAGAAGACGTAAAACTAATTAATGGTACTTTGCATTTATTATTTCTTTTGCTTTCTATTTCCACTCTTTTCACTGTTGTTTTCTTCTACATAAGCTGATACTTTCCATCTCTCTGCTGGTCAGAGGGTGGTAGGATAATCGTAGTCTGTGGCATAGGGATGAGTATTGGCTGAAGGTAGATAGCATGTGATGGTGGTCCAGAAATGAAGTATGACATGTTCCAGACTGAGCAGTCCTTCTGTGTCTACACTTCAAGGTTAATGGGTTTATTGCCAAGTCTTTTTAAACTTAAGTATTCTTTGGTTCATGTTTATCATGTGTTATTGTGTTCTTTATGGAGCTCTGGTAGCGTAGTGGTTACGAATCGGGCTGCGAACCTTAAGGTCAGTGGTTCGAAACTACCAGCTGCTTCGCGGGAGAAAATGAGGCTTTCTGCTCCTGTAAAGATTTACAGCCTTGGAAACCCTGTTCAGGGTCGCTATGGGTTGGAACCAACTTGACGGCACTTAACAACAACATAAAAGATACATGATTTTATTTTGACTAATAATGCATGTGTCATTAAACTGTAATCATAAGTTGAAGTAAAAAGAAGGAAAAGAGACAATTTGTACATGGTGCACCTTTATCAGATTTTCTCCTGAGAAGCTGCCTAGATTAGACAGGGCTTTATTACCTTCCCCAGTCTTCAGAGTCTTTCTTTTCATTTAGTGCCCTTCTCATTTACTCTCTCTCCATCGAGAGGAATTTGCAGATTGAGTCACATATGCTAGTCACCATTTGGCAAACAAATCAACCAGGTAGAGAAGCTAGATAAATTACCAAAGAAGTCATTATAAAAGTATTAGCAAAATTCTACTCTTGTTATATGTAAATTGAAAAATCCACTTAAATCATAAATTGCTTTTTGTTGAACATATACTATTGAGTGTTTATTAGGAGCAGGATAGTATGAGAAATGCTAGAAAAATACAAAGATATAAAGTAGTCAGTTGCATTTTATGTGCTTCATCTCACACTAAGGAGATAAAATGTATGTACTTGAAAAAATAGATACTGCATGATTAAATGCTAAATTAATCAGTACATTTGTGTAGGTTGTTGTTGTTATTAAAGTGCTGGCGAGTCGGTTCCGACCCATAGCGACCCTGAACAGGGTAACCCTTTCCAAGGTTGCAAATCTTTACGGGAGTAGAAAGCCTCATCTTTCTCTCACAGAGCAGCTGGTAGTTTCGAACTGCTGACCTTACGGTTCTCAGCCCGATTTGTAACCACTACACTACCAGAGCTCTATTCATGACATTTAAGTACCAAATTTTAGAATTAAAAAGGATTCATAGATCCTATAACAGGGTCTTCTATCCACTTATCCCTAAAAGTCTAAAAATACTTGGTTATATTTTTCCAAAAGTATGTCTTGTTTTCTAGAAATTATTTCATTTTTAACAACCACAAGAATCCGCCTCAATATTTTCTTAATTTCCCTATGTTTAAACACCACAGTATGTTATTTTCTCATTGATTCGACTTAGCTGAAACAAAGAAAGTGGTTGCCTGTTTCTATGTCAGACCCTAATACACCAGAAACTCATAATTTAAAAATCCCTATAAAGTAGTCTCCATTTTCCCTTTAATTACATTCTTTTGTACTCTTATAATTGAGAGTATAGCAGATAAACAGTGTTGATTAGGTATTTTTATGATGTTCTTATAATATGCTAGTTCCAGTTTGTTTTCTTGAGTACCATTTCTAGGATAGAAAAACACAAAAGTAAGAGTGAACATAGTGAACTACCCTGACATAAAACATATTAAAAGAAAAAAAGAGAGCAACAGATGTGGTTTAAGATCATATGGTCCTCAAACCATAGGCTCTGAGGATCAGACTTTAGCTACCTAGTAGACATAGCAAACTGTCCCTCATCTGATTATTCAGTAATGCTTGTTAGTAATCT